TTCAATTTTCAATAATTTTCTGTTCCTCGTAGTTAATATATGAAGAAAGTTAAAAAACTTTGGGCTACAATTCGATATTGCAGAAAGGACCATGGTTTCTAAGAGCCAACGCTGTGAATTTCAGTTTCTCCTTTTTTACTTTAGTATTTGTCGCAACTTTCTTAACTGATGTGCCGGACCACTTTCGCCAGTACACAAAATACCCCTTTTTATAGCCTCGTTCCCAAATCGAAGATATATAGTCGACTTTGGGTTGGATTGAAAAACTCTAAGCTCTTGGCTTACTAATTTTGCTAGTAACGTTTATAAGTGTTGAAGATTTCGTCACGATTTAATTACTACCCTCGTAATTGGCAGCAGTAACCAAGAAAAAAATCCTGCAATATCAAGCCCGATACATCCTGCACTGAAAGATCCTGCACCATCAAGCCTGACACATCCTACACCATCAGTCAGTCCCAACTTGCCGCACCGAAGCCGACGAAGGAAGCGGTCTTGACAAACTGCCCACTGGATGTCGCCGCCCGGACGCTCGTTGCTATATTGCCAATGCTGCGTCAGCGCTATCTTGAGACCGTCCAATTTTCTCAGCACTCTTATTAGCTATTTCGATTTCTGGTCTAGCAAAGTTTCCCCTTACAATAAGTATTTATTGGGCTTGCAAAACAAAGTTTGAAATTTTGAACGTATATCACCAGTAAGATTATGTTTTTATAAACTACATTAGATATTAAAGCATGAATTAAAGTACAATGGGAAAGAATAATGGTTCACAAATACAAATGAGGGTTTTAAACATGCTCTAAATTTTCAAAATTATTCTGATTTAAGTAATGAATTTTAAGAGGGTCCCATGAGGGTAATTTCAACGAGTTTATCTTTTAAGTTTTTTTTTTTTGAAATAACTTGCCTGCAAGATTGATGACCTGACTTGGCTGTGAACCAGAGTTGCGTGGCTCGAATGCCAGTCGAAGTATCAAGACTCTAATGACCTTAAGAATGATTTAAGATTAGTGATTTGGAAATATTTCTGAGGTGGGAACTTTTTCACTCATGTTTCACTCATAAATTTCAAGAAAATTTGAACAAAAACATCAGACTTTCAGAGAAACTAGATTACACTCATAGATCTGAGGCACACGACTATACTGTTACAGTTGGTAGTCACCTTGACGAAAGTGTTCAGTAACCGTTCATAGACATTTAGTCAGGTGGTGCAAAAATATTTTTTCGATTTTCAACTGTAATCTCCGGCGAGTTACGATCTTTAACGCTTGTCAGTAAGTTGCAGTATAATTAGCCAATATCCTCGCCTCAGTACCGATGGCCTTCTTTGCGATAGACAGCGAACGGCTTCCCAAGCGTTGCTAGCTATACATCCTCTACAGACGAAGACGGATTTCTTCAGAGATTAAGACATCAACGTCATCAAGATTAAGATTACAGATTAAAGTCGCCGTAAGATTGCATTTTTTACAAATATTTTTGCGCTCTCTCTTTTCGTCTAAAAATTGTGTAATATTTTGGTGACACCTGGTGAGAAGATACTGGTGACTGATACTGAAATGATGTTAAAGAGTTATTTCCTGTAAATACGAGTAAGCCTAATTGTGATAACGCCTCCTTCATCGTATGAAAAAATATATATCAATACTCACTGCAGCGAGTGACAGAGAGCGCATTTTCTCGTTGCCGAGTATCATGGATACTCGGCAACGTGAAGTCACAGAAAGACAGACAGACGGGCGGACAGACGGGCTGACGCGCGGACATGACGAGCACAATAGCGCCTTTTTCATAAATGAGAAAATGCGCTAAAAAGAATTGGTTGCAGAGTTATCTTGCAACTTGAAACATCCACGACGACCTTCAGTTTTCTCATCTCCTAGCGTTGTAGGCGGTCAACTGCGGACTAATAAATTCGATGTTGAAATGACTTCTGCATATTTCTCGAAATTTTGTAACCAAAAATTTCTTTGTCATTCAGTTACTCCTCTATAACGATTCTTTAAATTTTACAATATAAATATCCTTTTAGGCAAAAACTTTCCATGGAACCTTCAAAATTCTTAAGGAAATAAAATTTCTAGCCAATGGCGATGGCTGAACCAGAGAACCACTGCGTCGATTATATCCGGCTAGCATGAGCGGCCATCGTTGCTGCCGCTTCAGGAAGATCCCACAAGTTGCAAGCGCTCACGAGCTGCACCGGCGGCGAATAGGCTGTGGCGAAACTATTTGCAGCCATTTGATGACGTGATTGCAATTATGAAGACACGAATGACTCCAATAATGTTGCTGGCTCTTAAAGTAATAGTGCAAAGCTTAGAATGCTGGAATATTTAGACAGAACGTTTAAACTTGAAATTTTATTTTTCGCAGAATCCAAAACAAATGAACCTCATAGTTCAACCTAAGCAATATCTGATTATTAATTCAAACTATGTATGAAAAATTCTTGTTGGAAATAAATCCTAATAGAGAAAATAGCCGTGTGAATAACAGTGGCTTGCACCGATGATCTTCCATCACTAGTTACCTTCAAACATTTCCGCAAGTCACGCTGATGGCTGGAGCAATTCAGACCTTGCAACAGAGCCCGGCGAGAGCCGTGCCCTTGAGCAGCTCGAGTCCAGCCGCAAGTCGAACCTTGCGTTATTCTTCTTACTAGTTTTGCTTGAATATATCGCCGACTTTACTAATTAATATAAGGGCTCGGTTAATCATTTTCAAAGAATTTCGATTACATTAATTTTTTGCACGTCAAGTGCTTTCTTCAGCTTCCCAACACCTGAAAAGATCTCAACACTGGAATTTAGATATTTCTGAGAAACTAGACAATCTGCGCGCAAGTCGAACTCACGCCAGCACCAAATCAATATGTCAGCGCGCAGTAAATCAAGACCATTTAATTTCTCTGTTTAAATCTACTTTCAGGCAAGTTGTGAAGGAAATTATTCAATTGTTCAGAAAACAAAAGTTCAGAAGAGAATCAGTGCTCGTGAACACTAGCACCTGCACAAACGACGCCGCTGAGTTATACGCCAGTACTCAACGGTCCGCTTGCATAAAATCGGCATAGTAAAGGAAGACTTGTTATTGACACAGGGATATGCTTGTTGGTTATTGACGAGATTGCCTGCGCGTGTTGTCCCCGAAGTTCCAAGTAATTTGCATGTTGCGCTCAACGTGCAATATGCAATATGATATTTTCATATTATCAATGCATTGACTCTATTTACATATCACAACGAGAGAAGGGGGAGACTGTGCAAGATCCCCCCATTACGTAACAGATCCGAAGTCAGATTTCAATCCCTGCGGGAAGGATCACTTTCCGTGGCAGGGCCAAGGCTGTTCAACGTCCTACCAAAGGATCTAAGAGAGGGGGAGTTCACCCTGGAGACCTTCAAGAGACAACTGGACGTTTTCAAGGGCACAATCCCAGATCGACCTCCCCTGCAACACTACCAGCGGCGAGAAGCAAGCAACAGCATCGTGCATCAGTTGGCCCAATTGAGGGCGGATGAACGATAATCAGAGGAGGCGATCCATTGTGGCCTGGGACTGCTATGTCCCAAACAAGTACCAAGATTACCAAGATTACTTAATTTACGGCCTTTCTCCGTAAATATAAGCCTGGTCAATGCATATGAAATTTATTCATGTATTTTAACATAATTTCAAAACGTTATTTTTTTCGAATTTCTAAAATGCGCAACCTATATGCACACCATGCCCAAGAGAGTGCGCGCCTTCTTGAATACGGTGCTCCGTTTCTGTCTGCGACGTGGCAATAAATGTGTGCGTTCATGCGTGTTGCGTGCATGATGCGCGCCATAAAATCGCAATAGGCGTGAAAACAATCTACGGAGTTTCTGTTCATTTGTTTGTTCGTTAAAGTGTGACAGATTGATTGTGCTTCATTCTGGATATATGCCACTGTGATATGAAAACTTTAAAACATAAGGTTTTCTTTCTTTGAAATAGAGAACCCTGTCTTGAAAGACTTATTAATATTCATTTTGTTTATGTTTCCTTAACCGCAATTCATCTATAGACTTCTTTCATATAGAAAAGGATAGAAATTTTTGTTAAAAATTTTCACTCAAGGAACATCGTTTAAAGTTATTTTCAGATGGTGTTTCGCCTGGTAATTTGAGGTTTAATTATGTGCGACTGACAAATTTACCTCCGAGATGAACGGCCGTAAATTTGTTCGAGATGTCGAGATGAAGGCCTCGGCGAGTTACGCAACTAAAGTCGATCCTCAAAAAGAATTGTATCGGTGAATTCTAATATGCTAACTATAATTCCGATATTTTGGTTAAACTTGATGAAGGCTTGATGATGATAATTTGATGTATTGTGATGATTTAATTCTTATTGAAACCCAAGTAATATTTGTTTTAGTTATCGCAGAAAAACTGGCATCATCAGAAAATTATGTACATGCATTCCTCGAATGCCCATTGTATAATTTTTTTTATCGCTTAAAAGTGTAGGTTTCTCTGAACAAGAGGTGCTTAAAAGTAAGCTTGTTATTTAATTCAACCCTGTGTGTTAGGCCAAGTCTAATTTAACTGCGTTTCTAGCGGTAGTTTCATTTTCTGAAATCTTTATCGGTATAATCCGAAAAATCTTAATAATCCTAGAAGTATGCAATAATAAATGAATTGCCATGCCTACCTATACCATTAGAATTACGTGCGTTGTGATTATATGCATTATCAAGACTTTATGACAACTGACGTATACACGGATAAACTTATGGTATGGTGGTGTAATCATGTTCATAAATGGAATCGATGACAACATTTAGAAGATGGGATATATATGCATGCACCACTAAGAAATTTTCATGAATATCACCGTAAATTGTCTCGCTTATTTATTTCTTCACCTAAAAGTTCCCTCTACCGAACGCTGTACTTGAAAAATATTGCTCGTACTTAGTTTGTTTCAATGAATGTATTTAAATCAGATTTTCTCACCGACAGACGTGGTGGTGCTCACTGTCGGTAGCGGCGAGTCTGACGCCCAGACTCGGCTTCTGAGGTCAGCTCAGGTCTTCCAGTACACCATCCAGGTGAGAATACCGTTTATTAACTGCATTAAGAACTTTATAACTCTTAAAATTAAACTGTTTGAGGAGATTACTTAGCTACTGAGAAGTATTTAAAAAGACTGAATTCAGTGAATTGGGGTAGTGTAAATAATTAATATAGCTGGCAACGATTCTGTTATAGAGCCAGTCTTTATGACATCGGTTTCAAACCATAGAACTACAAAAAAAGCAAACTACTTTTCCTATATTTTTAGATCGTTTTTCAGATCAACGAGACTAGTAAAATACAGAAAGCGAGTAATATTTAGTTGTCTAGATATCTTAAAGGTATCATTTAATGAAATAGCAATTACGCCGAGCAGGTGTTAGGAGACAACCAAGGCCCTGTCGCGGACGACCTCAAGCTGAAGCTCGTACAGGAGGCAGTCGCCGGCGTCGCTAAAGATCATCCCGACCGTCTGGTGCTCTACCTCGACGGGTCAGTACGCTACATGAAGTCTACTTTCAACCGATGTCTGCCTATTTTATTTTAATTCATTCATTGAATTATAACGAATTATATTCGTTCTGCAATGTTAAGAATCGGCGACAGGTCTATGGCCTAATAAACGCTGAAACCGCTATACTATTATTATTATAAATAATTTTTATATGTGAATATTGATTAAGATAATATATTAATTAAGATAATTTTATTGAGTGATCGTTTAAGCTGAGTTCTGCTGCAGGCCCGATGCGATCTTGGCAGCGGGTCCCTTGCGGGTGGTTAAAGATCATCCCGACCGTCTGGTGCTCTACCTCGACGGGTCAGTATACTGCTTGAAGTCTACTTTAAACCGATGACTGCCTACTACATTCTAATTCGTTCATTGAATTATAACGAATTATAACGAATTATATTCGTTCTGCAATGTTAAGAATCGGCCACAGGTCTACGGCCTAATAAACGCTGAAACCGCTATATTATTATATAAAGAATTTTTGTATGTTAATATTGATTCAGCTAATATATTAATTATGATATTTTATTGAGTGATCGTTCAAATAGAGTTCTGTTGCAGGCCCGATGCGATCTTGGCAGCGGGTCCCTTGCGGGTGGTGGAGGAGGTAACCCGTGACCATGAGGGCCCTGGGGGACCGGTGCGGGTCCTGCTGTCCGCCGACGGAGTCTGCTGGCCCGACAAGAGCCTCGCAGCCAAATTCCCTAAACTTAAAGTCGGACGCAGATTCATCGATTCAGGAGGTCAGTTGATACTTCATATATTTTTCATAAAATGTGGAGCGAATCTTTTTCATTTGAATGTAGAATTGAAAAACACTTTTAATTCATTCATCATCTGTTAAGCCATCGTAGACCTTCATCATCATCTGTTAAGCCATCGTAGACCTTCATCATCATCTATTAAGTCATCGTATACCTTCATCATCATCTGTTAAGCCATCGTAGACCTTCATCAGCATCTGTTAAGTCATCGGAGACCTTCATCATCATCTGTTAAGCCATCGGAGACCTTCATCATCATCTGTTAAGTCATCGTAGACCTTCATCATCATCATCATCTGTTAAGCCATCGTAGACCTTCATCATCATCTATTAAGCCATCGTAGACCTTCATCATCATCATCTGTTAAGCCATCGTTGACATTCATCATCATCTATTAACTAAGTCATCGGAGACCATCATCATCGCATTGCCAAAAAAAAAAAACACTTAAAACCGTCCTAAAATCTCCTTAAATCCCGATTGCCTTGAAAATTTCGTTCCAAAAGTCATTACCGGTCGCAGCAGCCTCGTCGGTAGCTCCGTTTTTCTCTTTCTATTAGCCGCACCTGCCTCACAGTCTCTACGCTCTAGTCCGAATTTTCTTTTAGTCACACTTGCCTCACAAGTCGCTACGCCCTGGTCCCTCTTATTATTTTAGTCACACTCGCCTCATCAGTCGCTACGCACTAGTCCCTCTTATTATTTTAGTCACACTCGCCTCATCAGTCGCTACGCACTAGTCCCTCTTATTATTTTAGTCACACTCGCCTCATCAGTCGCTACGCACTGGTCCCTCTTTTTATTTTAGTCACACTCACCTCATCAGTCGCTAGGCACTAGTCCCTCTTTTTATTATTTTATTCACCCTTGCCTTCCAATCGCTACGCACTAGTTGCACTAGTCGCACTCACCCGCACTAGGCGCATCACCCGCCGCGGTCGGTCGTCGCGGCGTCTGCCGTGGTCACGCTCGCGCACCACTTTCCCTTTCGACGGTTGCGGTAAACGCAAAATTGATTGCCGCTGCGCTTTACTCAGCGTCGTCTCACGCGTCGGAGTTCACGAAGTTCTTACGAAATTATGACGCGGAAGCCTAGAAAATGACGCGTAAAATTCACTTTCTACATAGAGTCATGCGGTCGATTTTTAACATTTCTCGGTATATTCGTGTTTAAAAAGTTTATTCTTTAAAATTTCATCCACAAGACAAGCATCTTCAAATGAATATGATATTTGCCATTCATTAATCATATGTGGAACCATATTTTCGTTGTTGATGCCCGGCGATTTCTTTCAGCATTCGTCGGTCCTGCTGAACATTTGCACCGAATCTTCACGGAGTCCGCGCAAGGGGAGAAGAGTTTGCAGGAGCTCTTCACGAAGCTCTACCTCAAAGACGCCGTACGCAAGAAGTATAACATCGCCATCGACCACACCAACACACTCTTCCAGAACCTGCACGGTGCTACTGGTTAGTCGAATAAAATTTATTATAATTGCTCCGGTAATGATTCAAGCCTTCTTTCTGCAGTCAAGTTACGCTAAGCGAAGTTTTTTATTATTTTTTTTTCACAGCATCTTTACCTTTTAACAACAGTCATGATATCAAAGAACAGTGTGATTAAAAATTTATTCTGAAAACGATAGATATTGAGTTGAATTAGCATGGGGGAATTGAATAATGTTTTAGTGCAACTTTATAGAAGAAGAAACATTTCGCACTGCATGAACGAATTGAGATGTCAATCCTTTGTCTACGGAGAACATGATCGTGTTTATTTGTAGATACAGGCAAGGTAACGTGAGTTACCGTCAGTACAAAAAAGTAATATGAAAAATAAAAATTACCAAGCGAATGATTTACCATTCTTCTAGCGAGAAAAATTACGCCGCATCGTTAATTTCCAGGGGAATTGGAGCTTAAATTTGCCGGCAAAGAAGGCTACCTGCAGAACACCGTCTACACGACCGTCCCTCTTGTGATCAGAGGCAACCGCAACTCCAAAGTCATGCTCAACTCGTACGCAAACTACCTCGCTCGGGCCTGGAACCCAGTCGATGGGTGTCGGTGAGCTTCTGGCCCAGCATTCCAATCATAAACTATAAACAAATCTTTAAAGCAGTTACTCTCGAGTTATATTATAATTGAACTACAATTGAAATGTGGAATTTATTGTTTATTTTTGTTTGCTGCCAGCGAGTGCTGGGAGAATATGCTCCCCATCGAGTCGCTGGAGGCCAGCCAGTTCCCTGTTGTGACGCTGGCCATCTTCATCCCCAAGCCCACGCCCTTCCTGGAGGAATTCTTTGTGAAAATTACCGCTCAGAAATATCCTAAAGAACGCATTCATCTTTATATTCATAATATGGTCAGTTTAATTACCTTGTTCCTGACTTCATGCACAGCATAGGCTTCAGAGAGTTCGTCCTCATGCATTTCATGAGAATGTTTTGCATGTTTTGTTTTTATTTACGTTCTTACCGTTAGTTAACGCATACTCTCCTTTCCATAACTTATACCGATTTATCGCTGCTTATTTATTCGGATACAGGCGGCTCTGTTGTCGTCAGTCAAAGCATCAGGGTTAGGTTTCAAGTATCATTTAATCTAATATATTGTTGTTGTAGTGACACAGTAAAAAAATGATAGCCGTTGCCAAACTAATTGTTTCTATCGACTGATTAAATTCAACAATATACCGATTGAATGTGAAAATAAATTAAGTATGATTTCCCAGGAGGAGTTCCATGCCCCTATGGTGACGGAGTGGGTGGACTCGACAGGTCGTCTCTACAAGTCCCTCAAGTACATCACCCACGACGCCGGCGCCAAGGAGTGGCACACCAAAAACAAAGCGATGTCAGTTATAGCTTTTTCCCCTCAATATGTATGTGCATTATGCTTGTGTAATGTTTATACGAACATACGTTTTCATGTTGTTTTTCTAGGAAATAAATGCAGAAAGAGGCAAAACAAAGTAGGTTCAAACCTTAGATATTCATGAAGATACTCCACCATAAAGGAAATGTTCGGTCAGCATAAGGTATTTTCGTATTTAACAGATTGTTCTGTACCTCCTTCGATAAAGTAAGTGTGCAACGTTCATGGGTAACTTTTATAACCCTGCTACACCTTCTCAATGTCGTTGAAAGTTATATTTTCCTAATTTATTTGACTTCATTGCCGATGTGGGTTCATTTTTAGTTAAACCATTGCGGATCATCAACTCATCATCAACGTAAATAATTGTATTATATATCTAATTCTGACATGAGTATGAGGATATGATATATGAATTGCATTTCAATACTTCTTTACTTTCCTTGCCTTAGTTTTTCTATGATTCTTTCATAATCGAAAAAAATTTAAAACTAGACCAGCGTAGCTTCTCAGGGTCAAATAGTTACGAAGGTTAAAACACTAATAAAAGTTCCTTATTGCAGTAGAATGAATGGATATAAAAACCGTTTATTATCTCGAGTTTTATTCTATTGGGGTATTTCATTTACAAAATTTTTTTTTATTATCTGGCTACATTTTCGCACAAGTTTTTCGGCTGTCGTCCAATTCCCCCGGATTTATTATAACAGAATTCGGTCCAAACTTCTTGCCTCTGCCGAACGCATTACCTAACTTGTGTCCCTAGTTTTATATGAGTTTGATTGGCCTGAGTTTGATTTGATCTTCTGGAAAAATGTGTCCCTAGAATTTTGTGAGCCCAATAGTTCTGGGAAAAATTGATACAGAGAGAATTTTCTATGATGTACTACGTACAAGTGATAAGCGTTCCATGTCACAAATACTGATAGTACATACTGTACGTTACGTAGACGTGAACACGGTAGGAAATACTAATAAATAACGAACAAGAACGGAATTATTTCCCAATAATAAGGAACAATGTGTCCTGATATTCAAATGGAGCAGATATTTTCTCTGCTTACAGATATTACATTGATGATCATGTAGAGAAAAAGGCTGTCAGTTAAATAAGTAATTCCGCTAGAATAATAGATAGTTTCGAATGGATTAACTTTTTCTTAGTCTATACGGTGTCATTGTTATAGATTAACCTATTCTAAATCGAGATATTAATACATTTATTATACAGCGCTTTCTCTCATGTAGCTTCCTGTGAAGTTCGCTGTAGCTGCGCGGTTCTGATTGAACGAAGGTTCTCTGTGTGGGGCTTCGTTGCAGAGAGGCTTTTATGTTTCATATACAAGCTTGAGGCTGCACTTGTGAGAATCCTGTTAAAACAGACGTTGGGATTTTTTTTTGAGAAAAAGGCTGTCAGTTAAATAAGTAATTCCGCTGGAATAATAGACAGTTTCGAATAGATTAACTTTTTCTTAGTCTATACAGTGTCATTGTTACAGAATAACCTATTCTAAATCGAAACATTAATATATTTATTATACAGCGTTTTCTCTCATGTAGCTTCCATGTGAAGTTCGCTGTAGCTGCGCGGTTCTGATTGAACGAAGGTTCTCAGTGAAGGGCTTCGTTGCAGAGAGGCTTTTATGTTTCATATACAAGCTTGAGGCTGCACTTGTGAGAATCCTGTTAAAACAGACGTTGGGATTTTTTTTGCTTTTTTTGTTCTTGCTTCCCTAAAATTGCCTTTGATACTCACTTATTTACAAGAGAGACTCACGTCTGTAGAGCAGGGCAGTACGAGCGCAACTCCCCTCAAATGATACCTAGTGAAAATATTGGGTGTAACGATATTGTTTTCATTCCTGAAAACTATCTTTATCTCTAATTTCTGTAGTTGTTTTGTGCCAATAGAAAGTAATTGTTTCTGAAGGATAAAAAAAGCGGACAATTCTAGCATTCCCAATTTTTGATTATGCAAAATTCTGAGACGTTTGTAACAATAATTTTTTCCTGTTAGTGTCCATACCTTGGAAACTGGGAGCGACTTCTTGCTGGTGGTTGACTCCATGGCGCATCTCGACAATCCTTTCGCCATCAAACTCCTCGTGGAACAAAACAGGTGCTGTATTATAATTAACACAACTCTATAATTACGAACCAGGTTGGACGAGAAGCATCTAGGAAACCAAAGTGCTTATTAAATGCGTCAAGAAGAAGTACGATGATTAAGAAAGACTTACTAAATTAATGAATAATTTAACAATTGTCTGGATAAATCAATCTACACTCAATTGAACAAGAGGAGTTTTTAACATAATTTTTGGCCCCAGGAAAGTGGTGGCCCCGATGCTGGCCCGCCCCTACAAGCCATGGAGCAACTTCTGGGGCGCTCTCACATCCGACGGCTTCTATGCCAGGAGCGCAGACTACGTCGAGATCGTTCAGAACGAGAAACGGTAAGAGGAGAAACGGTGAGGGGAGATACGGTGAGGGGAGATACGGTGAGGGGAGATACGGTGAGGGAAGATACGGTGATGGGAGATACGATTTAAATAAAGTGAGAGGGAATAGTGAGGAAAAAATATTGCGAATGAAACGTGCAGTTAGTAATTTTTTCGCGGACAAGGAATTGCATTATTTGAACGGAATTTTTAGCATCGACCATTTTGCGAATATCAATAATTTCAGCATTTCTCGTAGTCCTTATAGTTTATTTTGTGCCGCCTCGGTCATGCAGGGGGCTGTGGAACGTGCCGTTCGTTGGCAATGCATACATGATCAGCAGCAAACTGCTGGCCGACAAGCAGCGAGTTCCTTCCTTCATCAACAAACTTCTCGAGCCTGACATGGCCATGTGCGCCAACCTCAGGGAAAAGGTGCGCAGACTAACGCATAATTTTTATCTTGTGGAAAAGTTTTACTATTAATATCACGTGGTAAGATTCTGTTGAAGTTGAATTGTGCGCTGCACGTATTACCTCAACAATGTAATAAAAATTGTGCAAAATTTTTACTATTAATATCAAGTCGTAAGAATTTTGTAGCAGTTGGACTGCATGTATTACTTCAACAATGTAATAAAAATTGTTGAATAACATCTTTGTTGCCTATTGTTGGAGTGAACTTAAGTTTGTAGCGACACATTTGTGTAAGGCATGTTATTAGCTGCGATGTAAAATTAATATTCCGCATGATTTTCCTATGATATTAGAAATACTTATTCGTGTTGCTGAACTAAACCATAATAAGTATGTCTGTTAAGTATGTGCACGAAATTTACTGCAAAGTTACACCGGGATGAATAGCTTCGTCGTACTTATACTTATACAAATGTTTTTTTTCCGTCACAGGGCGTTTTTATTCACGTCACCAACCGTTTGGACATGGGACATCTCGTGAGTGCCGACAACTTCGTCACCAAGCACTTCAGGCCAGAAATGTGGCAGCTGTTCGAGAACAGATGGGACTGGGAGGCGCGGTACCTTCACGAGAACTACTCCTCCAGTCTCGTCGAGAACGCCACCATTGCCATGGTGGGTCATCGTCTCATATGGCAAATGATTTGTGACTGTCTTTTGAGGGCTTTAGACTTTTGATAGCATTGTATCCATCTCTCTTCGTTTTCTTTGTAGCATTGTATCCATTTCTTTTCGTTTCTTTATTGTATTGTATCCATCTCAAGTCGTTTTCTTCCTAGTCTTGTATCTATTTTTATCCGTTTATTTGCTTTGATAATCTTTAGTAATGCATTGAATATGGCCGATGTGCTATTAAATGATATACCAACTAAAATTTGCTCGTATCCTGCAGCCGTGCCCTGACGTGTACTGGTTCCCGCTGTTCAAGGAGCGCTACGCGCAGGACATGATCGATGTCAACGAGAACTTCGGTGGCTGGTCCGACGGCTCTCATTATGTCAGTGCCGAGCTGCTTACAAATTCTCATTAGTTTACTCTCAGATTCTTATTTTATCATGTTATATATTAAAACGTATTATTTTCTTTGTGTTTTAGTGTATCATCTTGGTGTATGAAAATTAATGTGGAGTGAACTATATGGAAAAACATATCCGAGCTACGTAATATGTGGAATTTATGATAAAAAATTTCATACATTATTTCGGTTTCAAAGTTGGCAAGAGCGTAATTTGAGCGTCTGGGTTGAATTTGAATATTTCCATTTGCTTCCGTAGGACAAGCGGCTTGAAGGAGGCTACGAAACGGTGCCCACGGTCGACATCCACATGAATCAGGTGAGTAAAACCTGAATAAAGGAAGTGACACTCAAAACTCAGGCATTCAAATTATAATCATAGTTATGAGTCAGTAATTATTTGTTAATTATCATGCTAAATTCATTTATAATTGCGAATCGTGTTACAGAAGGTGTTTTTAAAAATTATTGTAAAACTGATTCTCTACAAGCAAAGTTTGAAGTAATGACGTGGTTAGGAAATGAATGCGAATTATACATCTATTATCTATCTAAAAATCAGGAATAAATTCTAAAGAAACAGCACCGGCAACACGTTCAAACTTAATTCGGTATTCAAACACGCCTGTGATGCTCAATTAAGCATAATATCTCTTGGCATAGTAGTTTAGTGTCGGAGTTGAAAATTAGGCCAAGTCCGGCCATTCGCCGATTCAAGACATCGCAGAATTTTCACCGATTGCTGCTGCTCGAACCTGCAACTTATTGCTACAATCATGATACTTTAAGCAAGTTTTTTTCCTGTCGATAAAGCATAAAAAACGTAAAAAACATGTTTTGTATATATTTTGCAGATTGAATATCGATACGAGTGGCTAGAGATCCTTCGTGCCTACGTCCAGCCGCTGCAGCTACGAGTGTTCGAAGGCTACAACAACGATGTAGGAGTGGGTATCCTTTTATGTACCGAAAAGTTATTTAGAGATAAGATATAAGCTCGTTCACCTGTTTTTTTGCCTTTGCTCAGGAATAGTGTATATATGAATTATATAATTAAGAGTCGCGTATAATAAAAAATCGTGAAATGGCTTGAAGGTAGAAATTTTAGGTTAAATTAGAATAAGACTCATCTCTTTTTTTTTCATCTCTGACTTAAACACAGAGGTTTAGTTTAACATCGTTCATATTCGAGGAAGGCGCACACTTGTTTTGCTTTGCTCACTTCATATATACTTATATATTAAATTTAAAATTATTAACAACGATTTATGTTATAATTTGAAATAGTTAGCTAATATTGTAATTATTGCGCGACTTCGTCTCACTCTTGTGTAACCACCGTAAGCAACAACATTAAACTTTCAATTCTTCGCGTGCAACAACTTCGATGTTATGTTCGCGTGTTATTTAGTTTGTAGTGCGTCTCATTAACTCGTTCTTGTTTTTTTCTCAATAATTGTCTCATTAACTTCGTTTTTTTTTCTCAAAAATTGCGTAAAAGTGAAAATAAATAATAATAAATTGTGCAAATAACTAGTTTTTTTTCTCAAAAATTGCGTTTTAGTAACTCTTGTTTTTACAGCCACCACAAGCTTTGATGGCGTTCACGGTGCGGTACAAGCCCGACGAGCAACCGCTGCTGCGGCCCCACCACGACACCTCGACCTACACCATCAACGTTGCCCTCAACAGGCCTGGCATCGACTTCCAGGTCTGTTGCTTAAGCTTCAACAGGGAGGTTGAATTTGGTACTGAATGTTTAGTTTTGCAATACAATAACATACCAATAAAAATAACAGATGAATAAAACAGATTAATTTTGAGATGAATGCCAATAAAATAAAACAGCTGAATTTTGATTTGCTGATATCGTAAAAGTATCTCTCATGACTATTTTTTCACTATTCATAAACATCAAGAATAAAAATACGTCGTTTATTTTATCGAGTCGAAATTTATTCATCTCATTATTTAGGATAAAATATCATATTAAAATTATCTTATTATTGTATTTTATTTAAGTGCAGTTAACTTTATCTGAACTGCTCATCACATGCGTTTGATGCCTTTGTGCGAGCCACTAAACTCTTTTTTTGGAAGGATTTTATCTGCTTCGCGCTGCAGGATTTTGCTTCTTAGAAAAGTTGTGTTCTCTTACTTCGCTCCTTGAGTTATACAATTTGCATTCAATAAGATATACTGATAGAGCTTGAATTAGTCCATATAATCACTTAAGTCGCGTATAATAAAGTAATTTGAAAACTTTTTTCGTGAGAACACATTATGCCTGTAACACGTGCATTTATCGCCTAGATATCATGCATCCAAAAACTGAAAGTTCTTCCAAAACTCCCTACCAAATACCGTGAATCTCAAAGTTCCCCTAGAGATGTGATATTCAAATGAATTGTTCTAAATATTCAGCTAGAAAGTTTATTTACCATGTTAACGATCACGGTAACATTCATCTGACTGGTTAATTTCCACGGTAAAAATTTGCAGAACATTTCAAATTGCTCTCAATATTAAGAAGTGATGTATCATTGTTACGGTCGAGGTATATCTTCTAAAGCCATCACATACGTTGCATAGTGGAAACTTTCAGAGTTTTAGCATTTATAAATATTTGGAATTGATATTTGGGAGATATTAAATATTTGGAAGATCGTAAACGAATTTTCTTTTCGTTAGGGTGGCGGATGCCGATTTGAGCCGGGGATTTAATATTTTTGTAAATTTTATGAATGTTAAGATGTGAAGTGGTTCGTAAAGCAGTTTTTCTGTTGGTTAGGGTAGCGGATGCCGGTTTGTGCCGGGGATATACTATACTATCAAATATTAAGAATATTAAGATATGATGTAGTTCTTAAAGAAGTTTTCTTGTTCGTCAGGGTTACTGGTGCCGGTTTGTGCCGGGGATATAATACTTTCTCAAGATTAAGAATATTAAGATGTGAAGTGGTTCGTAAAGAAGTTTTTCTGTTCGTCAGGGTGGCGGATGCTGGTTCGATCGTGCTGGGGATATAATATTTTGTCAATATTAAGAATATTAAGATGTGAAGTGGTTCGTAAAGAAGTTTTTCTCTTTGTCAGGGTGGCGGGTGTCGGTTTGTGCGCTACAACTGCAGCGTGCTGGACACCCGCGTGGGGTGGGTGCTCATGCACCCAGGCCGCCTCACGCACCTGCACGAAGGGCTTCGCGTCACCGAGGGAACGCGTTACATCGTTGTTACTTTCGTCGATCCCTAGGCTGTGACGGTATAACATCATAGTTACTTTCGTTGATCCCTAGGCTGTGACGGTATAACATCATCGTTACTTTCGTTGATCCCTAGGCTGTGGCGGTATAACATCATCGTTACTTTCGTCGATCCCTCAGATGTGACGGTATAACATCATCGTCACATTAATTAATAATCAAATTGGCTTATATGAGGAATATAATTGAAAACAAGCGCGTACTATAGGGCTTCATGGCCTCGTGACGGTCACTGACCTCACGATATATTGACATCAGATGCTTGTTGTACCTACAATTATGATTTAAGATCATGTTTCTTGTAAATTGTTTCATTCATTATTGGGACGTATTTATTAAACCGCTTTTTCATGCAGTTTTTGTGAAGTACGATTACGGCTTGAATTTTCTGTTCAGTTCGGCAAAACATCAATCTTCTCGACAAAATGTCGATATTCGTGAATTTAATATGAATTAAAATATTATGTATTTGTGTTGCAACATACTTTGTACTATGTTAGACAACGCTTTACCAGAATTTAAGATGTGAATGCAAGAACAAATGCTGTTGTTGTAAGACTCGCACAACTTTAATTTTTTGTCGTTATTTTTCATGCAATTCAAAGTTGCGAGTTAAGTGCAATATTTCCGCGATATTTTTTCTAGGCATTGAATTTTAAGCGAGTTTGAAGTTAGAGACAAATATTATTGTTGCTAAGCGATTTTGTGTAGAAGCTCCAAGTTTGTGATATTTTACGCACCAGAACATCTCTCAAGACAAGGGCGTGGAGCTTTAAATTTGTTATAAAATTTCAATGACAATAAGTTTATTCGTATGATAGTGCATTAACATGCATTAATTCAAGAGTGAAGACATTTTAACTGTTATACATTATCTAAGTGAACGCACTGCCACGTTTACTTATCGCTTCACGAATCTTTCTAGTGGTCAAAATGGTGAAATGGTGTCATTTGTTTAACTGCTTTCTTACTTGTTGCCGTTGAGATGCGGGCAATAAATGAAAAAGGCTACCGGGGTACCGGTAACATGCCTCAACGGTACTAGGGTACCTATGGCATGCTACCGGTGGCATGCCTCAATGGTACCGAAGTAATGGTACCGTTCCTCGATGTATCAACAGACGAAATATCAGTTCAATTGCGTATGCAAATGAGAAATGTTCAACGAGCTTCTGTTCTGCGTTTGTTGATTTTGTTATACAATAAAAATTCACTGCTTATCGGAGAATTTTTCATCAGAGGCTCAAAAGTTTAAAACCGTGTCTTTCCTGAATTATTTCTCTTTTGTCTAGTAAATTCTGTATTTTTGTTGACTTTCCATAAATTAACTTCACAATTAATGCCTTTTTAATCCCTTTTAATTCTATGTGAATATTTTTTAAATAATCTAGTAAACTAAATGAAGGTCTAGCAGAAATTTTAGGACGGATAGCTGGTTGGAAAATAAAATTTATTTCCTCGGCCGAACGGAATTGCTTGACCGAACTTAATTGATCAGAGATGAGCACGTTATTCGCGACTAACCACTATAAATTTTAAACTTTGAAAAATTATTATTGTGGCGAACAACCCAGTTTTTTTTGTTGTATATTTGTTTTATAGTAGTTACGAGTCTGGTCTAGAAACACTGGTAAATGTAATCTTGGTTGTAAAGTCCCAAGACTTAAATCAGGTGATAAACGTTTGTTTCAATTGAGGGCTTGTTAAATTTACAACAACGAGCTTGGTCGGTACTGTCCTAAAATGGCATCAATATAGAAAAATGCATTGTAAAGAAACGATTCCTACATTAAATAATACAAGATACATACAACATATAACATAACTCGGAAAATATTCATGTAAATCTCTTTGCTGCCAGCAATTTTCTGATATATCTTCCGAATATTTCCAGGACTATTTCATAATACCTGAATATATTCATATTCAAAATACTTATTACTTCAGAGCTAAGCAAGCCTAACCAATTCACATGTTTATTTATGACTGAACCTTATAAGTTTATATATAACTGAGGATAATTCACGCCTCTGGGACCGTAGATAACAGCGCAGGTAAACAGATCGCTCCTCTTGTGTTTGTCTGTTATGCTTGAACTGCCACGCACGCTAATTACGGGACATGCAAAACTCGTTCATAATTGCGTGGAATAGTGCATGCAATTGTGTTCCTGTAAGAGCTGATTCATAATTGCGAGGAATAGTGCATGCAATTGTGTTCATGTATTGTAAGAGCTGATTAATAATTTCGTGGAATAGTCATGAAATTGTGTTCATGGGTGAGCTGATTCATAATTGCGTGGAATAGTGCATGCAATTGTGTTCATGTATGAGCTGATTCATAATTGCGTGGAATAGTGCATGAAAATGTGTTCCTGTAAGAGCTGATTCATAATTGCGTGGATTAGTGCATGAAAATGTGTTCCTGTAAGAGCTGATTCATAATTGCGTGGAATAGTGCATGCAATTGCGTTTCTGTATGAGCTGATTCATAATTGTTCATAATTGTGTGGAATAGTGCATGCAATTGCGTTTCTGTATGAGATGATTCATAATTGCATGGAATAGTGCATGCAATTGCGTTTCTGTATGAGATGATTCATAATTGCGTGGAATAGTGCATGCAATAGAGGGGGGCAATAGAAGCTACCCCTCGGCTACGCAGTGAGGGTACTAGTGCTCAGATTCAAGGGTTCAATAGTATTCCTCCGGAGTGGGTAGAGGCGTAGAGCACACACAGCAAGTTACTTTAGACTGTGAAACATTACAGGGAGTAGGCGAAGATACTAATTCTAGTAACATAGGAGCATCAGCTTAGCGTAGTGTTATGAGTATGAGAAAGAAACTAGGATTTAGAGCTCGGAGTAGGAGTAGCAGTCCATTCGGTTGTATTTGGGAAGGTCGGTCATATGACCTCTTAGGTCATATGATAAACCTGCTTCTGCAGGTCTAAAAAATTACTGCGACTGATATCGAGTCCTCTGTGTTGTTCTCCACTCCGGTAGAATGTGGTGTTCTGTGTGGTAATTATTGAAACCGCCCTGTTGTACCTCTGATTGCGATAGATTCGCCCTTCCCAGAACGGAGTTTTCTTAATAAATGCATTTTTTCTGAAGTTTTGAGTTTGGGAGTAGAATCTATCCGGTGTTCCGGGTATGAAGTATCGGAGTCACGTCTCCCTTCGGCGTCACTTCCCGCCTGCAGGCTGAGCCTTTGTAACGCCACACTGAAACTTACTGGTGTGAGGCGTTATACAGGTTCTTACTGCGCACGGTATCATTTGATATTTTTAAATAGAACCAATATTGTTGTGCTTTATTGTGACCTGGAATATATCAGTGTGATGTTAACCTACGAGTATACTTGTATAGCTATAGATGTGAAGAGGTATTTTTAGCTTTTATGATGTAGTTTTAGGCATGAACTATTATGGATGATTAGCGTCTTTAATAGTTTTATCTCATACAGAGAAACCTCCGAAGTTTTGACCCGACTTCAACCCACAATTAATGTCGTTGTATAATGAATGAAAGTTGCTTATTTGATCGTACTTATTCTCCTGTCGGTGACTCAGTGTTGAAAGGCATGAAGTGTAACGAACAGTGGCTGGGTTATTGCGGATAGTATATAGGCTCACGTTACGCCCAGTGACACGCCCCTGTAACACTGTATGAGCTGATTCATAATTACGTGGAATAGTGCATGAGTAACTGGACAAATACAATGGGTTTTATTGTCACGAGTGCCTTGTGTATGGTCTTTGTTGCCCCAGTCACAGGCAGTGCTTGAATTTGGATTAGACTTTAAAAGACCGTTTTAGGTATTGTTCGTGTATGAAGATGTATGAAAATTGAATAAATATTTATTGTGTGAAGGAATTAATTCATTTTCATAAAAGTGGGATTGCTAAGAGAATTTTATGCATGCATTAATAAATTATAAACTATCGTCAAAATATCCTAATAAACAATCTAAGCTTCGTAAACAAATTCCAAAATTATCGAATGAGNGGCTGCAGGGTACTCATCAGCTGCCTCATTAACTAGGCTGCAGGTTACTCATCAGCTGCCTCATTAACTAGGCTGCAGGTTACTCATCAGCTGCCTCATTAACTAGGCTGCAGGGTACTCATCAGCTGCCTCATTAACTAGGCTGCAGAGTACTCATCAGCTGCCTCATTAACTAAGCCGCAGGTTACTCATCAGCTGCCTCATTAACTAGGCTGCAGGGTACTCATCAGCTGCCTCATTAACTAGGCTGCAGGTCACTCATCAGCTGCCTCATTAACACTAAACGGTTTATCAGCGACAGCTTCACGCGATGTTGTTAGCTTATTAGGGCCTGATTCTTCAGAACTCATCGGGTCGTAAGTGCTTGGAGCATCAGAGTTGATCATTCATCTGAGTTAATTATTATAACAACCAACAATCACAAGTGCTTGAATTATAAAAGATGATCATTCATCTGAGTTAATTATTATAACAACCAACAATCACAAGACAATCACAAGTGCTTGCATTATAAAAGTTGATCATTGATCTGAGTTAATTATTATTACAACTAACAATCACAAGACAATACCATACTATCGTCCACTGCGTAATTTTATGTGATAACCCATCTATACCCTGCAATTTCACGTAGTGTACAGCTAATATTCACGAGGTGCTTCGCACGTGTGAGCTCTGGCAATGTACGTACATTTTTCAGCTTAAAATTGATCTCCTCATTCACATGTGTCCCGTACATGCTTTGTACGAGCACGTCGTCGTAGGCTCGTTGATACTAGAGGCGCCGTTGCTACTGGCCGCTGCAATTGTCTCGGAAGGAATACTTAAACATTTTACTGCAGCATTCCAAGTGAGCAACATTTTTGGGACGGCCTCTGCCGGCCTCTGCTTTGTTTTCTCAGCAGCCAAATCTTTTCGGCTCGCTGATGCAGAAACAATGTTTCCAAGGAAAATAACTTCTCAGTCATACATTTTTATTGAAGCTATTTTAATTAAATATCAGCTAATAACTTATAATGACATTATAAAACAACCGACATGCACTGTCCCCAAGATTTTAATAGCCGAATAAAGGGGAAAAAATTATTTACTACGTATTCATTCAGTACGATATCTTAAATTTTTTGTTATAAATACAATCATCATTCACCATACTAAGACCCTAACTGTTGTGAGACTTTCCTATTTCCTATCTGCATTGACTTCCAGCTAAAAGTTTGCGCTTGCAGCGCCGCAGACGGGCTCAATTCTGCCAATCGGGATTACCTCGCCCGAGGCTGCAAACCACGGCAAGAAAAAGACATTAATTGTCAATGAACGGCACTGAACTTCTTCTTGAGCCAACTTTCCCCATATACTCCACGAGCCAACTTTCCCCATATATTTCATGAGCCAACTTTCCCCATATATTTCATGAGCCAACTTTCCTTACTCCATGAGCCAACTTTCACCATATACTCCATGAGCCAACTTTCCCCATATACTCCATGAGCCAACTTGACGACAGCTCGCCGTCACAATGCCACGCGATACGGCAACGCTAAGCATCTCCCTTCTCTAGTTTCGCCTTAAAGTCACAAGCTATTTTTTCCTTTATACATTTCTAGCAGAATGAGAATTTTCTTCTTAACTGAATGGGCTAAAGTTTAACTCAATGTAACAAAAAATTTTACCCTCATGTTGATCATGACAGGATTAAAATATTTTGTCAGTGTTACAGACGTTAATCCTCGCGTGATTAGGATATTTGTTTGTTGTTATTCATACAAATCCTGTCGTGACTGAGATATTTTTTCAGTAATGTTGACGTAAACATAGCAAGTTGAAACATTTTGTCAGCGTTTTTTTACGTTAAGATTAAAGGATTAAGAAAGGGTGTTACGTTAAGGCGGGATTAAGAAAGTTGTTCAGTGTTGGTAGGAGACTGATATTTGGTCAGTGTTATTCACACTAACCCGGTCGCGATCCTGATAATTGTTTAGTGTTGTCGACACTAATTCTGACGGGATTTCTATAGTTGCTCAGTGTTGTTTAAATACTTTAGCCTGCACTTAGTAGAAGGCAATCTATACCGGACAACAAACAAAAATTTACCAGAAGAATGTTGACCATTTCAAAATCCTGCACGTCTGAATATCCTCCACTGTTGAACATATCTTGGAGCATTTCAATTTGATATCAGATTTGTTGCTTGTTAATGTTCATCCGTCTGTTCAACACGGAATAGGAATTTTCGAGTAATCTATACAATCAATACAATCAATTTACGAGTGAGCCATACATGCAACAATAAGTTGATGGGAAAGGAACAACACATCACAAGTCTTCATA